CAGAATCAAAAGTACTGACTGTTTTCTTGTCGTCACAAAGACGTAAGGTTACTTACTATACTACTGTACTGTTCATTCATCGTCATCATCATCAACAGCCCTCTTACGTCCCCATTGCAAGGGCTCGAGCCTTACTTATGATGGTTAAGCAGCATGGGCCATGACCCTTCAAGTTTGCCCAATGCAGATTAGAGAATATTAACGACTGCAAATGCAACCGGGACCAACGGATTTACGTGCCTTCCGAAGTACGGACTAGCTCGAGACAATTTTTTGGTCACCAGTCCCATGACAGACCCTTGCGAAAGTTACTTATCAACAACGATTGCGAACCGCGGCACTTATCAACTACGCAATCGATCTTATAAGTTCTCTGTTATAAGTACAACTATTATTCTTGTAAACGGCCAAGCCACATGATTGAGGTCTTGAGTTTGTTAAGGCTTGTTATATTGAGTTTAGTAAGCTTGGCTCTTCATGAAATCTGATAACTTTTAGACGGTGCGACCCATGTAGAGTCGTGTGGGCAACATTTTACATGAAAAATTTACATGGGTCTAGCGAGAATCACATTTCTTTTTGTAAGTTGCTTTCGAAGCCACGACCTTTCACCATCAGGGCGACTGCTCTAACCACTGAGCTACCCAGGACCTTTATTTTGACGCTGAGAAATGCATTACACATACCCGCTCCCTCAGCAAGGAGTCGGCGGGTTATGTCACCCCCAGAATGCAGAAATCCCTCTCTATTTAGGGGACGCACGGGTACAGCCCGAAGACTACTTCCAGCACTGTTCGTTCCCATTTTGGTCTGCCCTGAAAAGGGTAGGTCCCTCTGCGGGTGGGGGGTACGTTTCAGAGACATTTGAGACGCCCCCCAGATAGGGCGAGGGCGTGCAATGACCAGCCAGCGTTCAAACTAGCCGAACTGCCCCTGACTAGAGACTGGAAATGCGCAACTGTGCATTTTCAGCTGGGAGGATCCACACATAGAGATCCCATATCGTTGACCAAACTATGGACATTCTACCACTTTAAAAAGTTCCCAATGAATTTTGATGATCATCAGTGAGTCAGTGACGAAATCTAGGTTTTTTAGATATAAATAAAATCGAAATTACAAGAGCATTACAATCGAAAGTTTATATCTATAATAATTTTATTATTTTATCAGGTTCAATCCAAACCCAGTTATTAAAGTTTTGGATTTACTACTACTTTTTTTGAATATGTAAATACAGCTTTTTGTTGTAGTGTTATCCCTGGGAATATTATAAATGCGAAAAACAATTATCTCTGTCAGTCTGTTAAGCTTCCACGCGTCAACCAACCTTGAGAAAAGACACAGGCTACCTTTTATCGCAAGAAAACTGTTGAAATAGGCAAAATAGCTAAACCACTATGAATTTTTGTTTTAGGCCTTTCTAAATAACCATATAAGATTTTAATAAGGAATTGCAGCGCAAACTTACTATATCACGCAAACAAAGCCAGTCTGGTACTACAAAGAAATTACAACGGCCAGACCTGAGGTAATATAAAAAAAAATACATTACTCGAACGAGAATCGGACCCAGAAACTCAGAAATGGAGACACATTAAAACCACCTCTCGAGTCACTCGGCAAAGGATGTTTTCTACTTCTACTACAAACAAAGTAAAAAACATAGGTAAGCATAGTAGTCAGTCATTATAAATACGACTATCCAATATAATTATTATACATAACGTATTTTTCGGAACCTATTCAGTGTCGACTGTCCAATCTAGTTATTAAACGTAACGTATTTTTTTAAGTACTAGCAAATTTTTTATAATCGGTCCAGTAATTTCGGAAACTATTCAGTGTACGCAAATAAAATCTTTCCATCATTATTAAATTAGTATAAAAAAAATAAATCTCGGTTGAGCACGTTTTAATATTGACATTCTTGCCAAGAAATATCTACAGAAAAACCTAGTCATTTTAATGATATTTCACGATGAAATTCCATCATACAAAGTAGCAGAGTGCCTGTCTTTATTTAATTTATAAGAACGCAAATGAATATGTAATGATCCATATTAATAATTCGATTGGGATCCGGCAAAAATTCCATGCGTAGCTTGCTCCATTCCGTAGCACCTCCACCGTAGCGGCATTTGATGTAGCGCCTTTTTTATAATGTGTAAAATATTTTATTGATTATACTTCTGTAATGGGAATATTTTACTTATGATTAATGGAGAATTCATATATTATATTAATACCTTTAATAAAGTCATATAGTATTTAATGAAATGTATGATCATTATAAAATTTAATAATTTTCTATTGTGTAATATAATTATGTACTGAGCGATACATTTTTACGAATGTTATTTATTGGTTGGTTGGTTTTTAATTAGTATGAAGATTCTTAACTTACGGGCATTGGAAATGAATTGTAATGAAAATTTAATCTCTCATGAGGTCTAATGAAGACCAATAAAGTCTATGAAGTGGAATGAAGTCCTATCAATTCAGAGAAAGTTAGATGAAGTCTTAAGAAGCATAATGAATTGTTGAACTTGAAACATGATACTTGAAGTTCGATGAAGTACTATAATGTAACAACATTCCACTTTATATACGATTTCATTCAAAGTCATTGAATTTCATCGAACTTGTATATAATTATTTAAAGATAATTTATTGAGAAGTTCGATGACGCTTTGGTTAGCGCGTTCGGACTGCGATGCAGTAGTAAAGTGACTTTCGCAAGTTTGGTCATAAGATGGGTCACCAAAAAAATATTATCTCGGGCTTCTCCGTGCTTCAGAACGTGCCACATTCGGTAGTTTCTCTTGGCTGCATCTCAAGTCGTTAACACCCACCAATCCGAAAATGGTGGTCCATGTCATAACCCATTCTCCATATGCGATACCATCCACAGGGGAGGTCTGGGAACAATACTAGGATGGTGATGATGATAATATTATTATTTTTACTAAAAATGAAATATTAATATAGGTATAGTACACAATATTATATAATCACACTTATACAAAAATACAAAAATAATAAGAAATGAACATATTTATAGTCTTCTCTTTTAATTACCGTAAAAAAGAGTTAAAAGTCAACTTTATTCAGACTCTTGGAAAAGTCAATACAAACAATTTTGTATATAATTTTCATACGGTTTATTCTGTTTACTCGTTATTATTATATAATACTATTCAAACAACTCGACATTATTACTGTCTATAGAGCGATAGATGTAAGAGCGTTATTAGTCAATCCATAATCACAAACATTGGGCGTAGATGTGGCGGGGTTCGAGTGTCAAATGATTGACAGACAAACAAGTAAATTACAGGTGTTTGTTATAGCGACCAACGCTGAAGAGCGGATGGCAGCGATAAAAACGTGGAGCATGCCCATTCATGACACCGCCGCCGCCGGGCGTCTCTCACCGCTCAGAATACTAAATGACAATGAAGAAGGTCTTTTTACTTCTCAATATATATTTAAAAATATAAAATAGCGTGTTATTCATTTATAATTTACAAACAAATAAAAAGGAAAGCTATATAGTAGGCATGGAACAAATGACTACAAAAAAAATAAACTATCTAGAGGGTGCCCGAAACTCTCTGGCTCTCTCTCATAGCTTAACGTTTTATTTATTTTAATAATATATCCGTATTCTTTTATCACGAAAGGTTTTTTATTATATGATATTTAATAAAAAAAATTGGTTTATTTCAGTTTTCAAAAGCTTTGTTTGTTGAAATTTGATTTTATTATCATATTTTAATTTGGTCGAACTTTTATAATTCGGAAAACTTCAACAATCTGAATCATAATAAATTAATAATAAAACACGAACATTACAAAATAATATAAACATACTTATTGTATCTCTTTATAATAATCTTTATAACATGACATAGCAAAGAGGTTGTAGTTCGAAAATTAGGCAGTAAGGCCGCAGATTTTCAAATAAGTAAGAGCAGAAAACAATATCCGTGGATTCTTTTAGCGAATTATTCTATGTGTCAATCAGGAAACACCCACTAAATTTATAATCAACCTGACAATACTGACGACACTCCGGCAAATAACAGAAAATCGAACTTACATTTATAACATTAACTTAATTACATACTGTTGAACAGTTTTCAAAATCCTGTTTTTCTGTGAAGTTATGATAAAAAAAGAAATTATCGAGCAGTAGACTACCCATCTTTTTTAAATTAAAAGTATTAATTTTTTCATCAACATAAAACCTAGTTAGGATCCCACCACTCAATCAAAAATGCAATGGCAAAATAAGATCTCTTAAAATATTTAAAGCTTACAGCGAACCTTCTGTCCTCTGAATTTTGTGCCTGTGCTAGATGTGTCACTACCACGTACGCAATCTTTACACCTGGCAGACATGACTTAATTCATGTCACACGTTACTGAATTAAGTCATACTAATGCTGTATAGTGGATTTGAAAATTAGGAAGCAAATTTGACGCGGATACAAACATTAATTTTTAAAGTGTAATAAACCACGAACTCTTATATACTAGACCTTAATGTTTTTGTCGATGTAAGATTGACATCAGTACCACAAACTTGATCATGTAAAATACATATTCTTAGTTACATATTGAGTGTATTTTCACATGTAACTCAAAATTTATATGTATTTTTAATTTTGACCTCCCTTGTAGAGTGATTCTATGTAGGTCTTCAAGATTCCATAGTAATTAATATATGCTATTACACAGATGTAATATATCGTTCATATGCCTGCAAATGTTTTAGTAAGATATATGTATTTAATATAACATTGTGTAGATATGTAACGGAATCATAATAGATGTCACAGAGAAAATAGAAACTGTTAGTAAAGTGAATGTCTCACTACACCATCATATGTTAACCGCATCATGAATACATTTAAAGTTAGATTAAACAATGTTAAAACTATTACATATTACTATTCATCATACGATACAAAGAAAAACTTAGACTAAAAATTATGGTTAATGATATATCCCGACCCAAAAATAGACCAGCAGTGATGACAAGACAGCATTTAAGTGTTTGCAAGATTGACCTGTATAAAGTCAAGGAAACGGCTAAGCGTTCCATTGAGATGGGATATAAACAAGGCTGGCGAGCGGGCGGGTCACCGAAGTTAGTGTCGGCTCGTAAACGTATCGGCCGGGCGGGGGCTACCGGCGCCCCCGCCGCGACCGCACTCGACGCCACGCCGCACGTCGCCGCTCTGAATCGCACCCGTTCACATGTTTGCAACTTATGGATAAGACTTGCAAATTCAACAATAGGATTTTTTTAACACGCCATGCGTTAAATACAATACTTTTAAGTATTAATATTCCAAAAAATTATTTAATTCCTCGTGTTATTTCATTTCACAAAAGGTACTTTATATATATTTTGACTCATTCGAATCAAACTGACAGATCATGTCAAAGGAACCAAAATCACAGAATTCAAATAAGCAAATATTAGTATTAAATGCTATTATAATAACTAGTATAGATATTACAACATTTTCTCAACAGCTCCTTTACGTGGATAGCAGAGAGGAACGCTTGATCCACAAGACACGGTCCTTTATTATAGATGCTCGCAGATTTTTCTGGTAACTAATATCACCTTCCAACAGCACGTTTAATCTTAAAGGAGTGTCTTGGCCTTCTGGGACTTCTAAATCTTTCCACTTTAACGTTCCATGTCAGTTTTGTCATTATTTTATCCGTTCATTACACGTTACACATGTTCGAACTATAAAAATATAACATTTCGTCATCTCTTTATCGAAACTTCTCTTTATGAGAATTTTTATAACATTTTCGTTCGAACAAAACAAACAACAAAAAAAAATATTATAATAATTTTTTTTTTCATAAAAAGCTCCTCCATACTAAACAAAAAAGTAATAGAAGTCTGAGTACTTTAACCGATACAAACTAAATTTAGGTTTTAATTGCAGGGCGTGTCCACAATAGACTCCCCTGGGAAAGGCGGCGTTCCGACAACAGACAGCGGGTGTCAGCCGCCACGTGCTACCCAAGGCCACTCGCTTAGTGTCAAGGTCATTGCCACTCCAGCTCGGCACACGCGGCACCCACGCCTCTCCTGTCACCACAAATAGACCGGCCGCCACCACTTGCACTCCGATCTACCGCAACACGCGCCTCAGGCGCCCGATCGCACTTCACGCTACTTTTTTGGCGTGGGACGGACACGATCAGCTGACGTTGACAACCGACTCACCCACTTGTTTAAAGCCCTAGGCTACTTGTTATGGTTTAAGAGTTCCACTGTTCGCTCTGGGTTACCGCATTCCGTTCCTTGTGAAAACATCGCTACCAAAACTTAATGGTATGCACATACCAATGTTATGCAGTTTTTATTTTATATGACATTACGAACTTGAACTCTTACAAAACGTTTATTAAGGGCCATACCACATATTGCTTCGAAAATCTTAACGTAAGTTTTTATTAGTTAAGGAAATCTATTCTCAGATATTTTTTGCTCTTAAACAAGGCCTAATTTCAATATATCATCTACCTCAATTTCGACTAACATATGGAGAATACACGCCAAATGGTTTGGTAACAAAACTTAAATTATACATAATATCCATCCTTACAAATAAAAATACTTTTTACTGGTTTCCGCGTGGAATATTTTCGCGAAAGAAATTATCCTACATGGTTTCCAAGGGTCCACTCTATCCACACAAATGAAATAAAATCTGAGATAGAGCATGCGGAAGAGCGACTCTATTCCCATTCACAGCTCGGGGTTGCATTTACTGGATCCAAAGTCCAACAATCTAGCACCAGAATCAGAGTTTTGTCTAATATGTTTGATCAGCAGCAAGTCGGTGACGTTCCTCTAAAGGACGAACAAATAAATTAAATATCCCGAGTGATACCGTTAAAGTTGATATTTTAATGTATTGATTTTTGTTTATAATTAATTGTTTCTATTGTTAAGGATACAGACTGGTTTGTACTCGTAGTTGTGAAGAGAAGTAAGATGGTCCTTAATTCGTTGTAATATGCCTAAGATAATTTTTATTTATAGATAACTTAAAGGTATTCTCTCTATTATGATATATTTGATAACAAAGAATCAAGAAACCAGTCTGTCCTGGATCCAGCTGGATTGCAGTCCGTATTCTCATGGCAGTCTGTTTTAAATACACTTGTATATAAAACTTAATTTCTTCCTTATTACTTTCAAAAATCTAATAATTTCTTTAAGATTAGATAAAACAAAAATAACTCTTTTGTGCGGGTACCAGATTAACATAATCTTCTAAATTCATTTGAATAACCAAGCGATACTTCAATACACATTTTAAAAAAACTAAAAAAATACGAGGCAAGAATCGACATTCAGGTAGGTACTGTTAAGGTTCATAGCTACTTATCCTAATTATTCGGCATTCGTTCTTCCTTACAACTTGTAGATAGATTTATTTTAACTCTATACTCGCTTTTTAGTTACTAAAATCTAAGTCATTTTCATTGCATCAAGTAGAATGAAGTCGTGATTATCAGGGTAAATTAATAGAAAACATATTTGATAGAAACCAAACAAAAACTTTTCATTATTATCAAATTAAGAGACAACAAAAATAATATTTCCCATTATTGAATTAGATTAATTTGTCTTAAAAAATTACTGATGTTTATTCCATATATTCTTTTTTGAAAATAATATCTATAGAGAGTAATTAATTAGATAGATACTTGGCAGGTCAAAAAAACAAATTACCCTCATTAGTTTAATGTCAGAGAAAACATATTATTATATATGTGTCTATGATCCAAGGTTATTTTTGTTAAAAAATAATAATAAACAACATCACATACATTGCTTAGATTCCAAGATAAGATTAAACCCCGTATTATGGATTATCTAAGACATCAAAAGTTGTCACGATACCCAGAACCGAGAAAATATATAAATGTTCTTTTTCTACATTGACCGTAGACCATTGGCGTGTGAACCACTCATTTATGGAGGTCGTATCTTTGATTTTGTGATGTTTAAGTGCAATGACAGATGAATGTTGGTACCCTATTAAAAAATCTTAGAGAGACAGAGCTTCTAGATGTTTGTTAAAATTTGTTGGATCATGGGAACTGCTTTACTTGTTATTTACACTAGTGTAATCATCTTAAAACAAAACAATAGTATTCCAAAAAGTTTCTTTACTATCGAAAACATTAATGATATAAATACAATTATCAATTGGATTGGCCCTAAGAAAAAGCTTCCTTATAACTAAAAGGAATTAAACTAAATGATTTCGAATTCGTCACCTTCCCTATTACGGACAGACACAGTAACTTTAGCAATTGGAATTCAGTTAAGATTTATCTCTCTCTTAAATCGAGTTGCTATAACCAACTTTCGGTTGCAATCATTAATTTTGTTTCTTCATTTGTCTTTGATCGATACGTTAATTTCCTCTTTACCGGCGACATGGAATCTGTAATGAATGACGTCAAATTAAGCTTGAAGCTTAACAGAAAACATTACTGGAACCTTAATTCGCGATTAAGGCAAACATAGTATGCGGGGTGAGTGGTGGTGTGGAGACGATGGCGGAGTGAGTGCATGCGGCGGGCGCGCGGGGCGGGGACCGCCGCGGGCCGGCACTTCTGTGCTCGAGGAGCCCCGGCACACCTCGGTTTCCGGAGCGCTCCCTCGCGGCTCCGCCAACCCGTCCCGCGAGGCCGGCAGCAGCGTGACGCGCACGTGGCCCGCTCACCTACTGCCGACACCTGCCACTTCAAACCCATTGATAAATCACATCTAATCACGGATTAAAGTAAACTAACTATTCCCTTGCTTGTTTTTTTAACGTTTGTTCCGTCTTTTCTTGTTAATCTCTCAATTATCTTTATTTATTGGAACTGATAATGCAATTTTTTATAGTTCTCACTAGACTATATAATAGTTTTTATTCAATATTGCATTATAACTATTGCATACGTAATTTACAGATTTAAATTATAGTAATAGTAAAGAATATAAATATCTAAAAGTTTTATTTAATTTCATTTTTAATGACAAAAGGATCACATGGACGCTTTTATCTTGAAGACAGTGCCTGAACAATTCAATGCATCGAAATGGAATCGCTCCAAATGCCATTGGACGACCAGGAAAGGACATATAAACTCTATAATATGTACAAGGTAAGTTGTAATACAAATAGCATCCGAATAGTTTCACGTATTTTTTTCGTAATTACATTAACATAATTCGAGCACCTCGTGTCTTTTTATTAAGTAAATTACAATCATAATGTAACTTTTATTACTTTTTACAAAAACTTAGGAAGCATTCAAATATAACAAAGTCCTGACAGTACCTACTTTGTCCAATGTTTATTTCCGGTATTGGTATTGTCAAATAAAATACACTTTGAGCAGAATGACACTTTAAAAATCACTTTAAAAAAAAATTACCTGACTACTAAAAAGAGCATGCATATTATTGTACAGGAAAATAAATAGGGACAGCTTTGTGAAATTAAAATAAATATAGGTACTCAGTAAAAGTTTCAGACCTTATTTATCCTCGATATCTTCTTTAATGGTGTGCTTAATCATCAAACAATTCATAAATTTCTTTTGTTTATTTTTTTTTTTTCAAGATAATGCCATATTTTTTTATTAAATTTTGGTTAATAGCTTTTTGGAGAGCTAAGAAAATAATATCATCAGTTGACAGCTCCAATAAACACAAAGATAGTAAAGAGCTTTTAAAAAAGTAAGGCGCTTTTAAAAAAGAGCACAAGTTAATGTAAATTACTTCAATTGACAAAACAATCAGATCAATGAACTTAAGTTTTGAAAATAAACTAGATAGCCGCCGCCCGTGTCGATAATTGTTTCTTGGATTGAAAACCATTTTCCAATACAATATTCTCACTAATATTATAATATGAAAATGAATCTGTCTGTCTGTCTGTCCGTTCGTCTATTACGCCTAAGCTATTGATATTGCTAATGAAATTTGGAACAATGTAGAGCTGACCTTGGGAAAGGACATATAACCTTTTATCTTTTTATCCCGTGTTGAAGGGGTTGATATAATTTTATGGAAGTTTGTCATTGAAAGTAACTATACTACGCAAAATAACCACTAGCATAACTCTTAGCGACTTCGCTTTTTGTAATTTTTGGTTTATACTTTTATTTAAATCCAAAATTACAAAAAATGATTTTCATAAAGTGCGGTAATTTTAAATATCGTTGATAAAATACAGAAAAAGAAAAACTTATTTTAAACCAAGAAACTACGAAAGAAGTTTATTGAACAAAATTTGTATCAGAACAATTATTACTTCATAAGGATTTTAAGTTTACATTGATTATCCTATTTCAATAAAAACGATAAATATACATAACTGCAAAATTACTATAAAATGAGATGCACTAGCCATCCGATCTCATTTTATTCGGCCATGTAGCGAGTTCATTTGTATTTATAATAGGGCCCTTAAATAACAATTCCATGTTTTTACTTAAATCAATACAGTTGACTTTTAGGCTACCGCACCCCAAAAGAATAAACCGGCCAAGAACGAGTAGGAGTCGCGCTAGAAGTGTTCCGTGCCGGAAACGAGTATTAAAAACGTTTGTTGTATGCAACCCCAGTAAATATTCATTTTATTTTGGTTTTAAGTTATTGTTGTTGAAGCGGCAACAGGAATACATCTTATGTGAAAATTTCAACTGTCTAACTTTCACGGTTCGTGGGATACAGCCTGGTGACAGACTGACAAACAGTGAAGTTTTAGTAATAGGGTTCCTGTAATAGGGTTCCCTTTGGGTACGGAACCCTAAAACCGAAACTCTTATAAATCACTTGGTTCTTTCTGTCAGTCCGTCCGCCTATCATTTTTGATACACGTGAAAAGACTTTACCTTTTATAATTTTATTAAATATGCTTTAAGTTTACTTAGTCTGGCCATAAATACTATTAAAATTAAAAATAAACAAAATATATCTTTTGAATTTCATTATCTTTCCTTATTTTCGCGAAAATACATAATAAAATATTAAGTTGGGGAAAAAGTCTTTTCGCATATAGTATGAACTTGTAATAAAATCTTTCTGGCTAGTTAGCTGGTTTCGGTATCATTAAAAAGTTTAAATTTTAAAGAAGATAACTCTGAATCAAATTAAGAAAATGAGTGATTTTCATTTGTTTTTTCTTACTGTTAAAATAAGCGAATCTCATGTACAAATTCGATACATTTTAAAATTTTATTACAAAAATAAAATAAAATTTGATTGCGACGCAAGTTTCTGCGAGAGTAGCAAAAATTTGGTTTAAGCATTTAGTCCGGAAATTTTGGTGACAAAGATGCAAGTCGCTCCGATAAACTGGATGCCATTTTTAAAAAGCGGATCAAATTCGGCGTATCAGTAGTTAAGACGTAGCTGAAGAACTGGGGATTCAGATCGGTCTCTTTAGAATTCTTAAGCAGTTTCAGGTTAACATCAAAACGATAAGAAGTTTTGGCAGTCCTCGTGAAATAATCCATAAATCACTATAGGTATAATTTCTATAGCAATGGGATCCTACAAAATGGCAAGAAATTATCTAAGAAAATGTTACGTACATACTTTAGTTAAATGTTAATAAACTTTATTAAAGAATGATTTGAATTTTCATATAAAATGCGATTAAAATGCAATGGGATGATAAAGAGTACCCCATCGCTGTGATTGCATAACATAAAGTAAGTATGGAGCCAAACCAATTTTCAAAACCCTCCATACGCTCCATACGCTTTTTATTTCAAAGCGGTTTCATTGTGCCTATTAATAGTCCGGTACATAAACATTTGACTAATATCAAATGTTTATGTACCGGACTATTAATAGGCACAATGAAACCGCTTTGAAATAAAAAATAATATTCTCGTGTTTTTAAAAGATGACTTAGGACTTGCCGCATATAAGAGCACGCACTGGTCACTTCTTAACAGAAAATTTAATACAGAATGGGATGGGAAAATCAAAACAAATACTTAAGCGGTACCCATGGGGAAGTCACAGAAAGATTTTGTTTACGAATGAAATAATTTTTACAATTGAGAAATATTTGAACAAACAACCCTCATGCGGATGACTGTATTTATACTCAAAGCAAAGCTCTAAAGAAGCTTCACTTAACCTGGCTATTATCCATCTTCAGTGATAGTTTGGAGGGATGTTGATTATAAAGTAGTGACCGGGCCATATTTTTGCGAAAAAGGCATCAAAACATCGGCAGAAGTGAAGCAAGATACCATTCTCGAGCAGGCAGCTATTCACTTTAGTTTAGCAACACAATGTTCAATAATCAAGGATGGTCCTTTTAGCAAGACCCGGTGCCAGGTTATAAAGCCACCCAATCTTGGTTAGAAACGAACGTTCCGGACTTCATCAGAGCTCAAGATTGGCTGGCCGTCATCTAGTCCAGATCTATAATCCACTGGATTTTGATTTATGGTCAGTTTTAAAGAGTAAAGCTTGCTGTAAATGCTATGAAAATTTGGAGATCCCAAAAAAATCCTTACGATTGGCAGTTTCCCCATGGAAAGAGTGCGTCTATTGATAACGGGTCTCAATGTTTATTATAAGTATATTTTAATATTTCAATCTATATAAATATATATTAATGTATTGAACTAACACACTGTAATATTAATAAATGTAACGTTCAATAAAAATAATGTTGAATATTTATGGCAAGACTATGTATTTTGCAACTTTCCAAAAATGTTTTAACTTCTTTTGTTTGTTTTAAATTGAAACTCTTCAAAATTATTTCAAATAAAAAAGAAAACGCATTTAAAACCTGCTAATATCAGATGCTAACAATAATAATTATAACATTCTCCTTATACGTGTTTCTTGTTTTGTCAAAATAACTCTTTTTAATTTCATACGTTGAAATTATTGATTTAGGCTAAATATAAGCTTAAAGCAATAGTCATTTAGAAACATATTATAGGATCTCCTAAAAATACAATTAGAAGTTTATATTAAAAAGCGTACAATAATTTACTTATATGTATTATACATGTATGTATGTAACTAATGTTAGTTTATGCCTGTTTAACTCATAGTTTATTACCCTTTGAAATTGTATAGCTTTGTTAGAAGTTATTGTGATACAATTGCCAGAGTCGAACTTTAAACATAGTTTAGGAGTAAGACAAATTTATAGACTTGATTTTCGATATAGTTTCACATAATTTCCGCGTTATTTACCATTTCATCAAAATTCTTATACTTAATAGCAACGGTAAAAGTATACAAAAACTGTAACTTTAACGTTTCAATTTTTGATGTTCACTTGGCTTTCTCACATTTTTAAGAAGTGGAATCTGATATATTTTTTTAAAGATGCTCTTCAAATATAATTACTTAAAGCAATGTATCAATACCAATGTATCATAGCTTTCATTATTTGTCGAAGATAAAAAAATAAATAAAATTATTATAACGTCATCGAAGTTAAAGTTAGCTGTTGGCTGATTCGAACCATCCATGGGCAACAGCAGCGCCGCTGTCAAACGCGGCGTTCTGCGACATCACGGGCACGGCCCCTCCAACCGCGGCGCTCACACCGACCGCCACGCAGTCTTCCCGCGCGGTCCACACGTGCGTCAAGCGTGCCTTCACATCGCCTACGAACGTTAAAACGAAACTGAAACACTTAAAAGTGCGCCGGGAATCAATCAATTCACGTAATAAATTGTGCCAAACTGTGAACATCGAGATTGGGACTCTACATACAGTGCAAACTCCAGTGCCCATCAATCTTATGTAGCAATTGAATATTATTTTCTTCATTGATAGACTTATTAGATCTTCCGTAGCACCGGAAAGCGGTTAATTAATTAATGGAATTAATTAAATTGTTCACATTTGTCGGATAAAATTTAGGACAAGTGACTGAGAATATTTAAATGGTATGTTTACTTTTTTATTTTTATTATATTTTTAAACCAATAATTGAATTTTTTAATGAATTTAATTAACATTTATTAGAGTTCGTTTTTTAATGATTGAGATTTAAAGTTGAGATTTTTATGGAAAACCGTTGAACGCTAGATGGTTACTTTAATATTTATAGTGATTATTATTTTATTTTTTTTATTTTAAACTACTATTGTACTGTATATAATAACAAATTCCATTTAATCAATAAAATGTTTAAAATTAAAATACAAATAAAATTTAAAATATACATAATTGATTATTTTGCATTATTAAGTACTCGAAGACACATTGTTAATTGTTTTCTAAAACTAAGTTCTGTAATAAAATACACATTGCGGAAACAATTTGTTTTTCAATATTGACAAAAAATAAAGTAAAAATATTTGTTTGAGAAAAAATATTTGATTAATGTTTGCCTTAAATATATAAGTATTTATTTCAATGACATTCAACATTGTTATCTATAAGAAACTAGATCAGGTGTATTGATACAAAGATAAGATAAACCGACGTTAATTATGGTTATATTATATTTAAATCATTTTTGTACAAAAAAGCACATACAAACTACTGTAGGAAACAGAGTAAGTAATCCTCAAAATTAATATCATGTTATACACGTAATTATTGCTAATGGGATATTTTATATGACCAAAACGTTAATTGTGTTTCATAAGGAATCTCTTAATAAACACATAGTAACACAGAAAGTTATCATGAATAGCGTTTTTAATTAAAATAATGCAGAAACGCCGACTTCAAGATCCTCTAAGAAAATAATAAATACACAAAACATTTAACTAAGCCTAATTTAAGCAACTAAAATACGGAAACGTTGTAACTACTATATTTACCTAAGTAAGAAACATAATACGGAAATATTAGTTTTTTATCTGGCAACCTCTGAAATTGAAGCTTATATCTCAGAGAAAAAGCGATTCGGTATACCTATAATAGAATTTCTTATAACCAATTTATTATTCATGGAAATGTTAACAATGGACACATTGAAATCAAAATAGATATAATGACAACAATACTTATGTAAATACTACATATTTTTGTATAAGTAAATGAAAAAACAGCTTCTTTATATTATTGTCTCGAAATCATGACAAATGGCAGTACCTAAATGGATTTTTTTTCTTTTCATTACTTTCATTTGTTACATAAGACTGTTATTACTACAATATTTAGCCCGAAATTCCTGATAGCAGCGGAACATGACTGGGTTTCATATATCGAGATAAACTATGAGAAATGCCTCTATATTATTTATTTATTTACTTTTAAATATTACATTTTTCAAAAGTTACAGAGCCTTTCTAGGTTAGTTTTCTAGACCGAGATGTTTGTCGTCTTTAAATTTATAAAAGCATAACTATCGTCATACAATACTTGTAGAACACGTTCATTATACAAATAATTACAATATATGTATGTAAATGGAACATATTTGATTTATGTATTAAATTTATTTTTACTTATTTGTGACTACCATAAACTATCATCATTTCCAAAGTTTTCTTTTTTATAACTACAACAATATAATATGAAAGCTAAATATTTCTAATAAACATTTATACAACGCGAGTATACCTATGTTTATAAATGAAGAGCATTAAAAATATTAAAATAGCCACACATAGGTTCATACTCATTTATATTATAAAATTTGTCCTAAAAGTAGAGCAAGTGTGGCGTGGTATGGAAACCTTACGAAATTTTATGGCCACATAGTGTAACGGTACTTTGAGAACAAATGGAACTGGTTAAACAATTATTCAATCATGAATGAATAAATTCAAATATCGAAATATTGTATCTGACACTAAATGTCACTTCTCACATAATGTAAATTATTTTATATGGTTATATCACATTTTAACTTAGATATTTAAAAAAAATATTATTATGATCTCCCGACATAATAACTAAACAAATCACACCTGCCGTCGAAGTTAACACCAAACTATAAATACCTCCATAAACAATGCGTCTCTACCGGTTTTCGAAAGCAAAAAAAAAGAATCCACCTGCTTTCTTATTTTATTTGTTTGTCTCCCCTACAAAATGTAAGCAAGCTACGATCTGAGAATGCGTTCCAATTGTAATAACATCAATTGATTTAACGATATTTTAGTGGGAGGAATATAACGAGGTCACCGACCGACAATTATGTCCTCCTAGAGACTCCACTGCGTTGTTACATTAATGCTATTACGCTTTCTTACATTCGGACGATATACAAGGTTAAATCATACAGAAATAACGAATTTAGATCGCCCAACAAAACGTTAATGTAATTTCAATTGTTCTAACGGTAGTAAACAGAATGTCTGTTACTACTGAAATAAATCGTCAAACAGTTTATTTTCGAAGTATATTAAACTTACCTACTTTACGAAACTTTCTACTTTCCACGCTCTAAAACATATTAGAAACACCGTATCGTTATGGATGCTATATTATAATCGACAATTAAAGAGATTTATTAGTTACGAATATTTTTGTTATAAAGAAATTTGTTAATAATTATGAAACTGTAAGAAGTAAAACATATTGCTAGTGACGCCACTGAAATTAATGAATACCACAAAGACTTCACATTAAAACAAAACAATCAACAACTCTTGTTTTTGATTTATTTTAATGTGAACCATATACCCTATATGAAAACAGATTTTATTAATTAGAAAATTACGGAAGCTAACTATACAATGCATAATTTTTCTCTTTTCTTATTTCGAAACTTAAAATACTGAAACCAATTATTAGGATATCCTTTCACTTGTCGTTGGTAGTGTACGTTGTTTAAAATAAAGTCCATTTGGGCTCGCAGCCGGTGCGGTCACAGAACCGGTCCAAGGAATGAGACCGACTCGGCTCAAGGTACAATCACAATGTTGATCAATCGAATTTTCGAACGATTAAAACGGTTCTCACATTTGAAATAGCTATATGAATAATTAACTCTATCTATCACTAGGTTTATGATTAAACGTTCATGTATATCTATGTACTCGTGTATACAAATATTATGTTTTAGCATAAAAGTAATTTATTGTAGAGCTTTAAAGTAAACACAATGATCTTTAACAGAACGTAGACGTTGGGCAACTGTTTTTAAAAAAATATTCCTTCTGAAAACATAATAATAAAACATGAACAAGTTTATTATTTATTCAGGAGATACTTTAGTAGAATTTTACTTTGAACTCCAATTCTGAGAACAAACTTAATAATATAAAGGTACTCTTTGTGTAGATTCTAAGAATTACAAAAAACTCACTTTTATCTATATGAATTGAAGGTTTATTCCGGTGTTGGAACAATACTTTAAAATTATCTCCTAAGTAAATGTTACGGATCTTAAGAAAAACAAGATGAAGTTGCTACTCCGATATTTTTATGATATTTAATAATAAATATATGCTCGTTATTTTTAATGCTTTAACATCTGCAGATAAATTCAAGCTCTATTTTAATTCAAGTAGGCATCGAACTTCCTCGTATAAGTCCTTGAATTAATACTCTTCGTCGAAAATAAACTACGGAGTTAATAAAAATAGTAGGTACATACTGTTGCATAGATAAAACTAGCTTTATAGTCGATTGCCATTTGAAAGTTCAACGCGATGTTATTCAATAACGCAATCTTGAGAAATACTGGATCGTGAACAAGCATAATATTCTATCGCAAGTAGAGTATTATTTGTTCAATTTTTTTTTATTTTATTTAAAAATGAGTTCTTAATTATTTCACCCATAGAGTAAGGGTTGCCTACCCTAACATGAAAAAATTTGGATATTAATTTGAAAAAATATTGGACGTAGTAATACTATGACGTACCGTAGTTAAATGAAAAAGTAAGTATTTATTTCTTCGTTTTAATAACAAAAAACATAACGTGAATTTTACAATATACTACTTTATGGAGGAAAATTTCCTAAAATACAGGATATCCCAAACTTTATAAAAATCAGGGCATATCCTGGGTTAAACAAAACGGTTAGCAGCTCTACATAGAGTTATAAATAGATCACCAACTAAAAAGTTCATAATTTAATGTATTCTTTTGTATAAAACGATAGAGCTGATACAATTTTGATAAAAAATCTATAGACCAACTCAGTAATTATATATTTAATGAAGAATTTTGAAAATCAGTCTACAATTCGCAGCGAAATCCGAGATCATAAATAAACCACACGTACAAACAAAAATAGAGACTCCTCCTTATTGAAATCGGTTAAAATATTAGTTAATTTGTTTTCTTTTACTCTACAAATATTTTGACGACCTCGAGTTACCCTACGTCTGTTGACTTTAAGCTTCACATATATAAAATCACCCTCTTATTTGATATAAAGATAGGGGTGGAGTAGGACTTTCGATGAGATGAGGAAAATATTGTATTATAAATTCCTTATTTAACAAGAAGGTCTATGAACTCTATTTAATTACAAAAGAACGACTAAAGTTTAACTTAAAATTAGATGAATCTCTTCTTTCTTTACTGATCACTCGATGCCAGATTGTAATTGAGATTTATTTTAATTATATGAGTATTCTAATTGGCTTCTCAGCAATCCAAAGTTAAAAAAACAGTAGGCCTTATTAGGCGGTAGTACCTTACATAAAAGCGTCAAACTGGATTTGGTAAACAATACTATGATCAACTGAAAATATTTTAGGAAATGACGCAATTAAAAATAAACAAATTATATTATTATTCTAACCTCTTTAACTTTTTGTCATTTAAAGAAAAAACATACCTCAGTTGTAATTTTCATACTGTTATGTAAACAAATTCTATGTCACTTTCAGGCAAAACGGAATATTCAATTTCAATAATAATGAAATAATTGCCCAGTTACACAAACGTCCATTAAAATTGTCATTAGTTTAGGCCATTAGAACATTCGCAATCGCATGCGAATCCGCAACATTTGCAAAATCTCGTCAGTTGTATAGCAATATTTCGCATGTGCTTTATCTCGCTCTACTATTAGCTCTATTAAATAGCTGCTTCCTTGTCAGTACGGTTTCGCAGACGCCCATGTTTCGCATTCAGGGTTGCCACCCGTCCCGATTTCTGATGACTATGCGGATATCACGAATTTTGTTTCTCAAAAGGTGACAACTCTGTTCAAATAGTTTCACATTCACATGCGATTGCGTCAGTGTACTAACGGCGTTAAAGCGACATACAAATTTTCCAATTTAGATCATTAATTAGCGTTTAAAGTCGTCTTTAATAATAATAACAATAATAATAAATTTATTTTCAAAAAAAATTCATAGATTTGTTAGTAAAACAATAGCTTTAAAAACTATGTTAGTATATCTGGTAGCTCTTATTTATTAATAAATAAATGGGTCATGTGTACCATCATCCAATGCCTCAAACCTAATGGAAATTTGTACAACTAACTATCGCATAAAAATAAATAAATTATGATTAAATAAAACTGAAACTGCTAGAAAAAACTAACATTGAAATTAAATTGCTTAAAAGTATTGTACATATACAATACAGAAAACTCATATCATAAACATACACAAAAGTTATTTTTTTTTATTCACGCCTAATTCACATATTAGGTACTTATATTACTTATACTGCTTATTCCAGTATACATAAAAATATATAACGAAGTTATAATTGAATTGCAATATGATCTATATTATGTCATGGGTTTCCAAAAATTATACTGCACGATTTTATTAAAGTTAAAACTATAACTTAATTATACCTGTCACTTTTATATAGGTAATATACGTAATAACTAAATATCACATAGACAAATCTTATAAATCAAATATAAATGCAATCATTACATCCGCAGGTTGAATAATTTATTTGATAGATTATGAATTAATTTATAAACGGTTTTACTCTAATAGTAAATTAAGTTAAGCTCGAGACTTCAACTTAGAATAATTTGATTGCAGTCGAGTGGGATGTAATCAACAATTTACTCGACAACCAACGTTGGAAATTTTATATCGTGTAAAAAGTAATAAAATTGATCTCCTGACTATCATGTCGAGAAGTTAACGAGGTAGTTATGGTCAAACACACTTAGTTCGACTGAACAAGTGTATTTGATTTTGTTCTTTAAATCTAGACCAATAAGAGTTCAAGCAGTTATTGTAAATAATTGAACGATTATGCTATGTGAAGAAATTGTTCCTGTAAATCGGGATTCTTATAACAAACCATGGTTATTTTAATAAAAAATATTTTCAAAAATCTAACAACTTAATAAGTAGAATAAATATACCTCAGAGGGTGAGGCTAGGGTTGCCACCTTTTTTTCCCCAATTAAAGTACATTAGTTATTATAGGTACAAAAACAAAGTAAATTGAATCAAAATAAAGTATTATTTATTTTTCTTTATTACTAAACTTAAAAATACATTTTCTTTTTATTTATCGATTCAGCATGAATCGATAAATTTTGTTTAACGAAAAAAGACTTACGACTAAGCTTCAAAATCACAAACAAATCAAATCATACGACATAAATTACTTTCGTGTACTTTATTTTTCTTATAGAGTATAGAGTACAATTGTCTGAAATAACGTACAATACTTTATTATAAAGTACGGGTTAAGTACGGGTATTAAAAGTTCGTAACATTTTTATGAAACAGAAAATGTTTATAAAACTTTAAAGAACTGTTAGAAGTACATAATAAAAATAAATAATTTAATTGTAGAAATGTCGCTACATACAACACACACTCATTTTCAAAGAAATAATTGAAAAAATAAAATATTTTTTTTGAAGCCTCAATAAATTTACCTAAAGCTCATAAAAATCCAACGATGTTACATAGGTATACAAGACTTTCTGAAACCGTTTCTGACTTTATTCATAATTTAATAATAAAAACACATTTTTATTATTTCATTTTAAAAATACAGCAACTCAAAACAGACTTCTAAAATTAATTTTAAAAATACCGAAAATCTTACTCTCTTTTTAATGAAAAATATTGCATTTAAGATAATGCAGTGACTAATTATGTATACAGACACTTTAAATTAATATTAATAATATGCCTATTACTCAAATAACGTTAAGTAGTTATTTTTTTAATTAGGATCGTACTGAATCTACAAGCTATGGCTACAAGTTTATTTTTCTTATAAACATGCTTTCTCGTTCCATTCTCATTAGCATTTATCTCATTAAAGTTGATGAGTATGTAAATCAAATTAAAAAAACTTGGTAATTGTTACTATGAGACTTGACTACAAATAATATTAATAATTTTATGACTTTAGAATTTATACTTTTTTTTTTCAGAAATACATTATGTTTATCATAAACCCATTTGTATCCGTTGTCCCTATTCAAGGACAGGTAAATATTACACTACACATAATTAACGTTAGATAGATACCTATTTTGAATTTGTAACCGTATTGAATATGCTAATATTGTCTTTTATTATTCTCTTTATAAATATCTAACAGGGCTTGAAAAGGCATTAGACAGTGTTTTAGACACGAAGAACAAACTATTTTTTTATCTATATATTTGTCTATATATGTATTTCACTAGATCTAGGCATGTTTGCCCATGGAGAGTTTTATAGGGAAGATATTCTATAGAATACATTACTCTGAGATATTTCTGACACCCACAGTGGAAGAACAGACCAGTTACTTATGACTAACAATTTGATACTGCCAATTAAATTGTGTTTCTTCGATTGCCTAAATGTACAATATATTACTGGTAATAATTTTGTTAATATAAAGGAAAGAAAAGAGATCAGCACTTAAAATTAATATGATCTTTCACATAATTCACAGAACAGTCTTAATTCTACGATTATACTTCTTTTGACGATTGAAAAGGCCTGTAGGTATATCTGCATAATATTAATATGATTGTCCTATAATAAGACAATTTATAAAAATCTTGATCCGTATTGTTCACTAAAATCTAACTAAAATTTTTGTTATCCTATAAATGTATTATTATTATACAATATATATCGAAGACAATATACTCGTATATAATTTTCAATTCCTTAGAATCGTCACATAACATCGCTTGAATATTATATTTTATGAAGTTTGTATTAACAATGCTTTATTGGTGCTTAAAAAATCCACCAGCCCCAGATAGCCACTTCGCTATCCGGACGACGGCTCTAACCACTGAGCTACCCGAGACCCAACAGGACTGACGAACTTTCCAAGAACTTGTTACTTTTCGCTACTAGTGAGTGTATTTTCATCAATGTTCTGGCAAACCACCCAAATAGACGAAAGAAATGTTTGCAGAAATATATTAAACTTTCGATTAAGATAAAAATTTGTTCTAATTATTGAATTTTATCTTAAAAATTGTCAGTGTAGTCAACGACCATAACTCATAAATATTGTAATTGCAGGTTTTACAAGTATTCACATTTTTCCAAAATATTATATTTGAGGATAGATGCCTTGGTAAGCCCCACCATGAAAATATGTAGTAAGAAGGATGAATGGCCTTCAAATAAGTAAATTATACATAATTTTATTGTTGTATTAAAATTATTGCCTAATATTGATGGAAGATGAATCCTTATGACATAATTTAGGTTGAACTGGAAAATACTTTCAGTTTTCCACATATTAAGCAAATATTTTTAAGGTTGTTTCATATACCTAGACAATTCTAGAACTATATTATTACATCTATAAATGTTAAATTACTTGTTTGAAATGCTTAAAAATATATTAAAATGGTACAAAAGACTTATTAGGCCCAATGTGGATCTTGTAACTCAATGTGATCTAACCTTGGATCAGTCACATCAAACTATTGAATAGATCGACCTGAATAGTTATTATAACATAGGAGTTCGCTAAGAAAATGTAAATAGTGGTTTGAAGATCATATAATGTAATCAACGCAAGTGAAGCCGCGGGCGGAAACCTATTAAATTATACATAAAGTCCGAAAACTTATGGTATTTTCGGCACCAAATAATAAATCATAATTTTTGTTGTACTAATACGGCAACCAAATTCACGTTTTAGTTGTCAAAAGATTCTTTTACTGCCATACGCACCATAATGTCACAAAACGGAAATTTATAAAAAATACAATTTTCCTAACGCTACCCAAGAAATAAAAGATTTCCCTATATTTTATGATCCGTCAGTGATGATTCAGTAATATTCCCTATAAATAGTCTTATCTTATTAAAAAGTACATCTTATCGGTACCTACCTACCTTTTCATTCAGAACCTGACATAATTAAATTTCGAATTATGTGTAAAAAAAATATAATTGTAATGAAATGTTAACTACTTTTTACTTTTAAATTGACCACTAGAATTGATCTCTGTTATATTCTAAGAGTTTTGATTAGATTACTCTTTGTTGTTACAGCGACCAGAAAACCTCGAGTCGCCGCTGTCAGCTCCACGCAACAAGACCAGCGTGTACGCTATGAATGATCAGGTTAGTGCATTTATGCAAGTGATATTACGACAGCAGTATTTGGTCTAAAATTTTTCTTAAGTTCTTGGTTCTTAAGATCGAGTCACGACCCAAAATCCGGACCCCGGAGGTATTGGCACGTCCTAATCGCGATCGAAATGTAGACTGTACCTTACATTTTTAATAACATCTGAAGCAAAACATGGACCTATTTGTTGATCCTATTACTTTTTTAACACCGATAGATAAATAAAACCTCACGGTTACGAGTTTCATAAAAGTATTTATATTTTGGTTGACTAGTCAAAAAGGCTTATATTAGATATTTAGCTAGAAAAGTATCATGAATTATCAAACGAAAAGAAGAATAAGGCTTTTTACGGATATTGTTGTTTATTAATGATTAATGAAATCTGACAAAACAATACTAATAAACTGTTTAAACCAATTTTTTTTTTCAAATTGTTTTATAAATTCTTTCTCTAGATTATTTTCATTTATTTTATCTGATATAGACAAGCTATAAGATATAAGAACTCTAGGAAGACTCCTTTTCAGAAAACAAATGCATTCAAGCTAGGTAAAGTAAAACGTAAGCTCACCCAAGGTGAGCACATTTTAGAAAATATATTAATTATAATAATTGATTGAAAAAATAACCCAGTCTTCATTAAGAGAATAAGATCGTAAAATATATATTATTAAAATATATAATATATATTGGGGCAGAAATTTATATTTTATTATATACATTAACATATAATATCTGTGTATGAAAACAGAATAAAAAACAAATAAATTTTCTGTACCTAATACAATGTACGACAATAGAACAAACAACAATGGTACAATTACGTCAAGAGCTTTTTATTGCCATCGACATTGTAAAACTTTTTTGTGTCAGAATTCTCACATACACTTTCTTATGTAAAAATTTTGTATTAAATATGTACCTACTGATTATTAAATAATTAGAAGAATATAGTGCATTATAGAAAGCCTTATAATTTCGGGAATACTAATCGTATACTGAAAATTCTTTCGCTTAAGATAGCTACATCAGACGTGGGTGCTATAGGCTATCATTTTTATTTTTATTTAAGGTGAACCATAGCTTTTTTTATTTTTAAGAAATCTTATATCAAGGTCATGTAATAATTATCTGGAATTTAACAGTATATATAGGTTGATTTTCTATGTAGTTACATAATCAGTTTCCAAAATATATTCAGATTGATTACCTATAAAGTTCGACAAATCTATTGATTCGACAATCTTTATGCTATTAAAAATGAGTTTAGTGACTTACACGATGTTTTATATCACCAAATAAAGGCTATGTTGTTGTTTTGTTTTTAAAAAAATATTCGTCTCCAAAGAAACCATTTTTTCTATAATTTATGGTGTAACGGAGGGAGATCCTACCTAACCCTGCCTGTGTACCGGAGGCAATCTTCGAATTTTTAGAAACTCGAAATGTTGCGAATTTTGATTCGAGTTCAAATAGAACAGGCAATCAGGTGTCATGTTAATTTGTACGAGTTACATAGCGTCATACATATGAAAAAGTTATATGTGGTTTTAAAATGAAACTATGGAGGGTTGCTGCGAGTCTCCCCACGAGGCTACACGTGGAATTCAATTAAAAAAACGATTTAGGCTTCTTAGGTACAATGTAACTAAAGTTATGTTATCTGCTATTGCTATATAATAACTAGCTTTCTGCCAGCGGCTTCGCCCGCGGATTGTCATTCCTGTAAAACTATTAGGTAAAAGTTCGACAATAAAAGTCATTATTTTACTTCACTCGTCATGAGGCCCTTTAAAAACAAACAAATAATGTTAGGGTTATTTAATAAGATAATAATAAAATCGGTTGATCATAGTAGCAAATATTTCAGTTATTGCTTAAAGACAAGTGACATTATGTGGAATTAAGACTAAATCGAAACATAATTTCTTCGCCTTAGACTTTTCACACTCCATCATTCGGCGATGAGGAATTTGACATCCCTATGATGCACGGACAGCATACATCGAGCGCGGCCGTGCAGAGCACGCATATACAGTACGCCCAACTACACCACGCGGCGCCACAGGTACGTAAACAGGTATACACTTCCAATATTTACTTGACAATTTCAGCTTTATCGATTATTACAATAAAATAAAGAATTACAATAAAAATATATCTTAAAGCTTACTTTTAGCTGTTAAAAGAGTGTGTAACAAGTGTTGACCCATTGGCATTGCAAAGATTCCATTAATTTTCCCCCAAATTTGGCTACATTGTAAGGGCTACTAAATTAAAAAACAAATAACAATTTGACGTATATACGAGGGTCAAACTGAAAGTTCTTAGAAAATCAAAAACTGATTACATTAGCCAGTTATTAGTTTTATTATATCTTTTCAAAATATTGTCCATTCACGTCAATACACCGCTGCATGCGATGGAACCACTGGGAAAAGCACTTTGCCCACTCGTCCTTAGGGGTCTCTTCAATGGCATCGCGATACGCAGCCACCGCTTCTTCAGCATTCATAAACCGCTTTCCTTTAAGTTTTTCTTTAATTTTTGGAAATAAATAAAAATCACAAGGCGCGAGGTCGGGGCTATACGGCGGGTGACCCAGTAATTCAACGTTTGATGTCGCCAAATAGTCGATCGTTCGCTTGGCGGTGTGCGACGAGGCGTTGTCGTGGTGAAGGAGGATCCTACTGCGAGGTCGTTTCTCTCGAACTTTTTCCAAGACAAGTGGCAAACAATTGGTAGTGTACCATTCTGCAGAAACTGTTTTTTGATCCTCTAACACAATTGTTGCAAAATGACCTATCCTTCCAAAGAACGAGGCCACCATTTTTTTTCCCGCACTTCGATCTCTCTTCACTTTAGTTGGCAACTCCTCGAAAGGAAACACCCACTGAGCAGATTGTCTTTTGGTTTTAGGATCATAACGGTAAATCCAGCTTTCGTCACCTGTTAGTATGTCGTACACAGCATTTGAGTCACCTCCGTTAAATCTTTCAATCATTTTACGACACCAATCCACACGATGGAGTTTTTGAGCCTCAGTCAAATTATGAGGTATCCACCGGGCGCAAAGCTTCCTGACCGCTAAATGTTCGTGGAGGATTTTGTGCACTTGACTCATACCGATGCCTAAGCTTGTCCGAATCTGTTGATAGGTCACTCTTTTGTCAGTCTCTATCATACGCCGCACAACACAGATGTTATCTTCAGTCGTCGCCGTAGAAGGCCGTCCCTCACGTAAATCATCAGTGAGATTAGTGCGACCACGTTTAAACTCATTAAACCAGTTGTAAACAGTCGCACGAGATGGGGCTTCATCGTGAAAGGCCAATCGTAGTCTATCATAACTTTCTTGTTGACTTAAATGACATCGAAAGTCATAAAAAATCATTGCACGAAAATTTTCTCGTGTTAAATTCATGATGACGTGACACAGACAATTTTCAATTTGCCGCCAAATCGTAAAACAAATGACAAATGAATGAAATATATACTCAGTAATATTGGCAAAGAGTTATATTTTCAAATTTTAGAATTATTTTTTTATTATATTGTTTATAAGTGGCCAGTTCTAAGAACTTTCAGTTTGACCCTCGTATTAAGGGCTGCCAAATCGTTAAATGTAACTGAATCAATAAAATTTGTTTATTGTGTACTCAACTGACTTACATACAATTTAAATTTATATTTTTTTACATTATTCGTAATAATGTTTAGTGTACATAATTCACATACATTATTAAACTGTCATTGCCATTAATGATAACAAAATATGTATCTTAAATGTTGTCACGGTAACTACTGTTGTATCTCATAACGTGCATCCTAATGAATTAGATTTAACATTTGTGTCTCTTGATTTAACACTAAGATGTAATTGGCAGGTGCACGATGACTCCCTGTGTAGTTAAAACACTTTCCTGTTATTATAAATGAATTAAGTAATCCTGTTAATATGTATAATAATATTGGCAATAATAATGTTGGTGTAAGTTATATAAAACCTAATTATAAATCTGTGGGCTGGAAAAATATAAGTAATTAACTGATATCAAATTAAGATATATTAACTTTGACACTACTAATCCAGAAGGGTGTTATGATCTCTTAAATATTGCTCGAATGTATATCTGAAGTAAATCTTTCCATTAAATGTGTATCAGTCGATTATTTGGTCTCACTCTAACATCGGGCAAGGATAAAGATTACCATAGTCATGGTAATCTTTATACTTTATAGAACATAATAATTGAATTCCTTATAATTAGCTTAGGAGAGGTCGTTCTGCAGTTGAGAGCCAAAATAATTTATATTTAGACATAGATAATGTCTTTACAAGTGATGAGTTTCTTGTGAGCATCTTCTTTAATATCATAGGTGTTTTAAAAAATGTTGACCATCATAATGTAGCAGAAAATTGTGTTCTCTCCAATTACCTGTAAAATTAGTGACTTGGATCTTAAATTTTTAAACAGTAGGGAAGTTTATGTTAAATTTAAAATAATTTGTTTGGACCACAAATATCTAATAAAGGAACTTGCCAATGTGGGATATTCAGCCCGTTGTTATTTATTCTGCATATATATACTGTAAAAGCCCAAAAGACGGTAAATCTGAATATTTCCCAGTATATCCTAAGATTTCCCAGCATTCGTTCGTAAATGACCGAATTTTATAAAAAAAGACACAATATATCTGGCTTTTACCAATAGAATTTGGGAGATGATAAAATTTACCAATGATGATTGGTAAATGTTGGTTATGGGAATAAAATAAAGACTATTTCTTAATCGTTTATTTTAATTACCGGTCAGTCAAAGCCTTACATATTTTTAATTATAATTATGATGATACAGTTTTAATATTTTCTTTTATTACTTTTATTATCATATGAGTATTTCTTTATAATTTATCTATTATTAATAATCAGTCTAATCATTATGTAAGTAGTTCAAATTATTATAATTTAGAATATTTGTGTTTATCAAAACTCAACTTCTTTTAGTAATGAGACTAAGTTCTACGGCGTCATATTCAATAAGAATCTATCGTGGGCTAGACATGTAGCTGGCATAGTAGACAAATCATTAAGAACTTTTAACATCTTAAAGTCTTAAGCGTACACTTATTGTATCGCTTTCCTTGTTCACAATATCCAGCGCCTCCTTTTGATACATCATCTCCTGAAAACACATAAGACTATCCAGCCTTCCCTTCAGGATATCTTACCCATAAAATTACTATATTACCTCCAGTCTTGGAGAAATCTAATTTGACCGAATATGAATATGTAAATACCTATAATAATATGTAAATGTAAATACCCTGATCTAGACAGAAATTTTAATCAAGATTTTGCTGCTTGAGAATTAAATAATATTAAAGATCTAGCTATCAGCCTTTAAAAAACGTTAAGGAATAAAAACGAAGACAAGCTAAAAGATAGGCCTTTGCCTTTGCGCTGCCCGTGAAATAACTTACTCTAGATTTGGCAGTATAACTAAGTTCCTTCGCCTGTTCCAATGAACATAGTAAGTAAAATACTACTTCTGATTTTGCTCTATGTTTGAGACTTGTAAATGCTTGTAAATTCAAAGGAGAAAAATGTAGTTTTGCTTTTCTTTTAAAATGCTAAAACAACATCTGAGTGTAAACTATACACACAAGTTATGTATAAATAAAAGGATCCATTATAAACCCCTTTTTTGTTTCGTGGCAGTCTTCATTGAGATTGATTTGTAGGTTATGTTGACACCTCATCGATGTGGAATAATAAAAACAAACGAAAGTTAAATGTTGGACTTTCTTTCAGGTTGGTATGATGAACCCGGCACAAGATGGGCTGGCACCTCCCGGTGGTGCGCCTTCCTATCAACAACCTTTATACTTACAAGAACCACACACACCTGTTACTACTCACAGGTAGTTGAGGAATTTTCAGATTTTATCTATACTTATAATAATAATAATTCGAACCCAAAGTTATGAACTAGTTTTTATACTTTTAATATTTAAAAACATGTTTTTATCTATTTCATAGTGGTGCCGGTGCTCCTGCTGGTAATTATATGATTCAGCAGCAACCTGGAGGCCAACAAAGATTATTGATGATGCAGCCGACTCAAGTGATGAGTGGACCTCCTACGCCCAGCACTCCAACCCAACCGTCGGGACCTGTCTATGGCTCACCACAGAGAGCTTCACCTCCAGGAACAACCAGTGATGACTCTGATGACAGTGTACCTTCACATCACTCACAGGTGATTAATACTATGTTATAATAAATGTTAACATCTAAAATAAATTAAGACTACAGAAATTACATTATATTATCATAAATTATAATCATTATTTTACTAATATGTGTGTACAGTATAGGACATTCTATTCTATTCTAATTAACTTTTTTTTTTTATATTGAAATTTTCTTAAAATAAAATTGCAATGTTTGTAACTAAAAACTTAATTAAAAACAAAAAAAATGTTTTAGTTAAAATCTATTAACATCATATTAACATAATTTACACATTCTACATTACCAACGATAATATAAAAATACCTCTACTTTAACACTTGAAACTGTTGATGAACCATCTACAAAATATAGTTCATTGGCATATAATGAACATGATTTTTCTTATAAGTAGCTAACATAGAAAATCTAATGAATTGGTTGTTTGTTGGTAGTTGCCTGGTGATGCGGAAAGCCTTCTGCCTATCCATTATTGCTCAGCGAGCCGGCAGCAACAAACTACGCTTCATCAGGTATAGGCAAATTTTATCACTTACATACTTTAATGTAGACATATTGCCTATTCTAATATAGATTTCTGTTGCCAATGAACTATATTCTTTGTAGTTGTAATCATGCTTGCTTGTATATATACTTTAACATTTTGCTTATATTTCTATTTTTAGCAGATGGGAGTTAATAATATTGGTGTAAAACGATCATCTCCTGAACCTATGGATAATGGCATGAACCGAGGGCAAATGCAGAAAAAACCTAAAGTCCAAAAGAAAAAGAAAAAACGAGACCCAAATGAACCACAAAAGTAAGTAACATATTTTTTCTACATTGATTTTATAAATTTTAATAAATGTTTGCATTAACATCTCTTATTTTTAGACCTGTATCAGCATATGCCTTATTTTTCCGAGACACTCAAGCTGCAATAAAAGGGCAAAATCCTAATGCTAGTTTTGGTGAAGTTTCGAAAATTGTAGCTTCTATGTGGGATGGACTTGATTCTGAACATAAAAGTGTAAGTATTGTATTTTTAAGCTGTGTATTACTTCTTTTTGCTTTAATTACCAACATATTTTTTTTTTACAGGTATATAAGCAAAAAACAGAAGTTGCTAAGAAAGAATATCTTAAAGCCCTTGCTGCTTATAGAGCTAGCCTAGTATCAAAGGTAATAATTAAATTTCTTTATTAACATTCATAATAAGTAAAATATATGTGTTGCTGCCAGCTGGTTGTAATGGGTAAGAAAAAATTGATTTATATTACATTACAAAAATATATATATATATATTATATCTACTGTAAAACCAATTGGTTTCTTTCAGTCAATAGACTATTGTATTTAGCGACTTAGCTGATCATTTAGCTGTGAATTGAATGGTGCCATTAAATCAATTACATGGCTATTTTGACTAGTTTATTTTTAATGAAAAATGTTTAAAAAATCCACTTTGTCCAGGTACAAAGTGAATATTTTCCAGTTAACATTGTGAATGAAAAATTGATCAAATTTCAACCAGTTTATTTTAAATGTTGTACATTTTTATAAAGAATGATAATTTGTCGCTTTTTTGTTCCAATTCTTTTTTTACACCATTATTTAAAACAGTGATTTTTATGACTGCTCCAAAATAATCCAGTTCCATGTTTCCATAATAATCTATTACCACAGATTGTCATCTATTACTATATATAATATAAATTTCAAACTATTGCATATTATTATGACACGTCTTACTATAAATAGCACTTATTTTAAACTTGGGATGACAAATAGAACATATATTAGTGATTGCATTAATGAAAGATATTTATTACTTGTTTAAAGAGTACTTATTTTCTGTGATACTGTATAGGGGATCAGACAACTTTCTAAAAGTGTTTTAAATTTAATCATGTACATAAAACTGTTTAAAATTTGAATGTTTAAAAAAACCGCGTTAAGGGATTTTCAGTGAAAAAAATGAATTATCGTCTGCAGTATTTATATTTAAGCTCACAAATAAATAAAACAGTAAGATCCTTATGACCTGTTGACCTTATGACAGTCAAATAAATAATTTAGATTATTTTTCACTTTACCCTCACAAAAGGTGTATGTGTATCTATTTTTTTTAACTTAGCCATCCCAACAAACATATGTTTTTTATTAAGTATTATTTTAATTAAACTCGTGAATTCAAAATTCACTAGTTAAAATCTATGATTAAACTGTTGTAGCTGGCATTAGTTACTTGTAACTTTTACGTAAAAACTCATGAATTATTGGCGAACAATAATTTTCTAGTTTTGTACTTAATCTCACCAACAACGGAACGATCCGTATTTCATTAGAGCGTTTGTTACCAAAAATAAACAATCTCTGTCCTACACAGATATCTATGGTCTATCGTGTCGGATAACGAATAGAACGCTTGGAATAAACAGTATAGTATAGTCAGTATAGTAGTATAGTCTGTGGCTCGGTTGTCAACTGTCAAAGTCGTCGCGGTCGCTAACGCTTTAAGCTTTTGTGCTTTCTTCTGAACGTGGAAAAGAAAGCATTTTATTATTTTGTACTGAGAAGCTTCAAATAAAACTACAACATTATCACACAATTATTATAAAATAGGTACAAATGAATTACAGCAAAGAAATTGAACCACTGAATTAGTAGTTTATAAACGCAAAATTTTCATTTATTTAAACCGAGCTTTTTTAAAATTACTTGATATTTAAAAGTTAATGCGTTTAAAATTTCTGATTGTGTTAAATTATTAAAAATCAAAATACATAGCAGTTGTTTAACTCAATTAACGAGATTATTCTCTTTCTTAACCTACGTGGTTTGAGACATTTTCATATAACTTTAAAATTTTTATTGTTTAGGGAAGTGACCAAGAAAATCAAGCAATGTACAATCATCCCAACAATACTAATACATCATATAGTAACTATTATCAAGGACAATCATATGGCAGTGGTCATTCCCCGCAAGGATTTGTAACAAATTCTGTACCACAAGGATACACCCCACAGAATTATCCTGGAAACCAAGCTCAAACTGCTTATCCTGGACAAACACCACAAGGCTACTCCAATCCCCAACAATCACCACAGAGCTATCAAGGAAATATGGCACACGCACCACAGACATATCAGGTACTTCATTACTTTTATGATTCTTAACATAAAGTTCAGTGGCGTAACTATAGGGTGACAAGGCAGGCCAAATTTCATACTCCCAACACCCAAGAGGGCCCCAGCCCAAGAGACAGCTACCTCGGAAATATTTTATCAACATTTTAACTAAACTCATCCATTGGTGTCTATAATTTTTATTGTGGTATGTTAGCAGAGTGGATTATAGCTTTGACTTTATTTATTATCCTAGAAAGCACTTTTTTCATAACACTTTCATTGGAACGAGCTTGAAACACTATACTAGTTAGGAGATCAAGGATTCTCCTAACTAGCATAGTGTTTCAAGCTCGTAGCCTTTTTTTACAATGGCTTTATACTGACTGCTAAATGGTCATTTGTGTCTTTGATTTTTCATATTTGTTGTTTTATTGAATCTGCAAATAATGGCAAAGTAAAATTGATGTGAAAGTTAGTTAATTAATGTCTAGTAGGACTTTTTTTATAAGTGTTGGATAACTACCTTAGTGGTTTATTAAAATTACGAAAACAACAAGACAAGTTTAAATCAAAACACGACAACACAATAATGTTAAAACAACTCTTAAAAATATTGAAATATTCTGTGAAATTTTGATAAATTTTTATAATTTATTAAAATTGATGTTTTTTTGTTTACTTTATCATAGTACATTGCAATTATAGGTCAAATGGTATACAGATTACCTTAATAAAAATGCACAATATTTCTTCATTTGCAATGCTAAGACATGCAAATAATCAAAACATTAATAAAAAATCAAACTATTACTATTAATTTATTAATTATAAATTTTCTAATTATTTTACTTATCACTAAATTCCAATAATACATTTTTAGAAATAATAAAGTCACACTTTCAATCCTTATAACAAGAATAACAGAAAACAATGTACTTATTTACAATGATTAATTGTAAAAAGAAAACACTTATAGCTTTTTTTTTAAACAATATACCCTATATTGTAAAACTTCTAATTTGCACAATAATTTTAAGCAACTGCAACATTTCTGTATAGGGTGTGCCAAGTCAGCCCCCACAAGGATATCAAGTCAACCCTGCCTCCTCACCCCAAGGCTGCCAACCAAATATAGCTCAGTCACCTAGAAGTTATCAGCCAGCACAATCTCCATCAAGCTATGCAGGGAACTCTGGTCTTTCCCCACCTGGCTACAGACAAGTTCAGTCACAGTCTCCTCCGATGGGATCTGTTCATCCAGCGATGCAATATCACCACTCTCAACAGGTAAATAATAATAGAAAGATCATTGAAAATCTGAATATGAAGATTATTATTTTTAAAGAATCCTGAACCAATAGGTTAAATATTGCTGTCACTAATGAAGTTTCAAATAAGTACTCATAAATAGTAAATACAAATTATAAAATTTTTAAAAATTACCCTTGACACAGAACATTCATAATGCTGTGATACTAAATGTTGTTGGGCATCAGATAATGGAATATATAGCAAAAAGGTTGTTTATGATGATATTTCTAGAATTAATACATAGTTGTTTCTTTATTAAAATCAAATTAACCTTATAAATAATGTCCATATTTTCTTAAATTAATACAATATGATAATTACAGATTTTATAATGTATTAGTGATTTGCAGTTAATATCTTTTAAGATTTACGAAGAAGGTTTTATTCTCTTTGTAGCCAATTTATTTTAGAATCATGAATCTATATATTCGAGGACCTGGTTGTCTCCGCTGTATATTTTTAATTTTTGAGAGTTGTTGAATAATATAAAGTAATATTTACTTATTCTGTGATAGCAAATACAACAAGCTCACCAGCAGATGCAACAAGCACATCAGGTACAATATCAACAACAGCAACTACAACAACAGCAACAACAACAACAGCAGCAGCAGCAGCAACAACAACAACAGCAACAGCAGCAGCAGCAACAACAACAACAACAACAACAACAGCAGCAACAACAGCAGCAGCAACAACAACAATCACAACCAACATCTCAACAATCAACCCAAAATCAAGTTCCAAAGCCTGAACCACATTCGCCAAACAGCAATGGTAGTTCTGGCATGCCACAGCAGTCACCAGATGTAAGCAACTCGAACACCAAATCATGGTGAGTGGTCTAGAGTTCTGCTAGGATTCTACATTTCTCGTTGACTATTATCTCTACACATGCATTGCAATTGAGCACCACAGTATTACTGATTTTTAGTGTATAATTGACTTCTTATATAAAGTGTATAACTTTAAACACAGTGCAGAACTCGAGACAACTTACTGTGGATTTAAATAGATTTTCCTAATTATAAAATTATTGAGATGATACTCTACATCCAAATGAAACTTCTATGATAAATTCACAACTAAATAATAGTAATGTGATTTCAGCAAAATGAAAATAGAAGCACAACATCATGCATTCGTCAGGGCTGTACAAATCCAGCCATAGCTAACAGCGAATGGGAAGATGAATATTGTTCCAACGAATGTGTTGTTAGTCACTGCAGGTATTGTTTTATACATAAATCATTCACTATAAACCTAATTCTTATATCTCTTTTTAAACAAGAGTGTATTTTGACAAGTGCCAATATAGCCAAAACCCAGGGCTATTTAAAAGTTTGTAGCAAGCAACATGTGTTCATGTCTTTGTTTTTTATTTAATTATCTGATAATAATGAAATTTTCAGTACAGTGTGATTTACTCTATTTTTGTTATAATTAAAGATTCTTGGTTATAATTATTAAATTTTATTTGTAGGCTTAACAGGCCTGTGTTGCTGAATATAAAATTTGTTGTGTCGTCTAATTTAACTTTTTTTTTTATATAACTAATTATAATTTATGAATGAATATAAAAAAAAGAGAATGTATGAAGGCATAAATAATATTTTTTATCATTTACAGAGATGTCTTCAGTTCATGGGTGGCATCCAACACCAACAACCAGATGCAAAACTTTTCTGCAGTAAAATGAAATGAATGTACATATCAATATTAACTGTAATTATAAAATTAGTTTCTATAATGACTCTAGAAATATGTAAATTAAGCAAGTTTATTTTTACTTGTTACAATTATTTAGAGTAAAAAAAAAAGTTCACCAATCATCTCCTTTCAATTAGGAGTAAGTTTTTGAATCATAAATATTATATTAGATATATATAATGTTATTAATTTTACGCATTTGGAAGCATTTTAGTCACAATTGAATTGATTTTAAAAATCTTTAATTTTCGTAACAATGGCATTATAGTAACAAAATAGTAATAATACCTCAAGTACAAACTTTTGAGGGGTTTGTAATGAATAAAATATTTTCCGATTTGTATAAGTACGACAAGTCATAACGAACAAGCATGTCTTTGTTTCATATCTGGGTGTAAGTGTTCTAATACATGATGTTTTATTACATGGAGATATAATAGTAATAAATGCTTCTACAAACATAGAATTAGTAGTAAAGTTACTATTTGCTATTAATAGAATAAAGTATGATATCAAAAGATCCTATGAAAGTTAAAGCTATGATCTAATTAGATATAAAATACAAAGTGAGCATTTATTAGTTTACATACATAAATTATATTCGCACTTTAATTTAGAAAATAACTGATTATAGGTATGCCTAAAGTCTACCAATATTGATAAATAAAGCAATCCTTGCCTTATGTATTATAATAATGTGTATCTTAGAAATAATTTACTCATAAACTAGCTCTGAGCTCGAATATAAAAGGCATGTCATTACGTATTTGTTTGAAAATATAACATTGTTGTTTATACCTTTCAGTATTGTTATTGTAACGTAATTAAAGCTAGCATATTAATAATAAATCGATAAGTTTTGATAGAAATGACAAAACGTTTTTTGCAAAATTATAAAAAAAATATTTCAATTGCTTAAATGATATATTTCATTTCGCTTTTTGGCCATCTCAATCAATATTGTCTTGATTCGTTAAGCGTTTTACATTGATTAATGTAAAATTAATGTACAGTTCTAAGATACCTACATAGCAATATTTAATTTTCTACTAGTTGCGTTTAGAATTATAGGATTTAGCTGGACCAAAATTTTCTTTATTAAAATGAAAGATGTTTAAAGATATCTAAACCATAAGTCTTATGTATATTCAAAGTAATATGTAAATAAACACGCAATAATAGTAGTAGGTACTTAGAGTAGAAACTACTTAAAACATTATTCCAGTTTATGTTATTTATTTCGTAAACTTGTTAGAACTTTGAATAGATATTCTAGTAGGTATCAAAATAATCTTTTATAAGTGTAATATAATATTGTATAAAATGTAATTAGAAAACAGTTTCATTAAATTTCCTAAACATTAATTGTAGTTTTAATTTCTTCACATTACACAAAAGCCGGACAGACGGAGGATGCCGTTAAATAGTAAGTAGATTCTTAACTTTAGTGATTGGTGACGTGTAACTGTTATGGAACAAGCGATAAATTGCTCATAATGAAAAATGCGTTAATTTGATGCATGTCTGTTTTCTTTTACGTTATATTCTTATCCGTGATTGTTTTAATATGTGTTGTGAGGCTGTACTGTGCAAATAAACAAAAAAAAAATAACCGGGGATTATAAATATCGTACATTATTACCCTTTGAGCAGAATAATACAAACATATTTAATTGGTAATTACTCTTGACCACGATCTAGCTCAAGGACATGAATTAAATGATCATAAAAATGAGATGAGAGAATAATAATATAAATAAGACGAAGGATTAGCAAATTTTGTATGAAATTTCATTTGGTAGAATTACTGTTAAGCTGATTATTATTATGGCAAAAACTGGATAATTATCATCTTTCATTAGGGCGCATAACTTTTAGACGAATAACGTTTCGTCAATGTGTCAGTTCCCTGTGTTCCCACATTTTTTTTCTCTGATTATGTAGATTTGTGTCCAAAATTTTGTCATAAGTCTATACTTAAGACGTTCTATGTTTCTGTTACTATTAACAGAAACATAGATCAGGTTTGGTTAGTGTATGACAAAACGCACGAAACAAGCGTGCCGTGGCAGCGGCAGTGCTAGTAGCGAACCGCTTTTGTTGAAACAACAGTAAGGTTAGTTTAGGTCACATTAATGGTGAAATTAAGTATGACCACGAGCGAAGAGAGGAGGAGCATGTCAAGTTGAATGTGAACAATAGTTTTATTATTCTGTGGTGAACGAACCATAATCGACTTATCTAATACAACATTTGGTAAACAATAAACGAGAAGTGAGATAAGAAGGAGCATTAGGAGAGTCCAATAACGAAAACATGGTGGTCAGAGCTCGCATATTCCTCCAAATTTCTTTATTTCAGATAAACTTAAAATAAGGGTATGTTCCGATATACACTGCGAGCACTACGCAGTCCGTTCCGTTATGGACTGCCAGTACACTACTACAGTACCCTAGGGAAATTTATGACGTCATAAATTGCCGCCATATTTGTACTGTGAGCACTGGAGATTTCGAGGTAAGATGCTCGCAGTGCTTTTGATCACGTGATAAGTCGAAACAGAATCAGAAAATGATTTTCTAAATAAACAAAAAAAATACTTATTACAAGTGTAAACTTTATCTATTTTAAATATAATAAAACCACTGATTAATATAGAAAGAATTTACTTTAAAGACATATATTCCACAATAATTTTAAAATAGGCACTAATAAATCAAGGAGCAGTTGCTCGTTCCGCGGCCGGAGCCTATTATAAACTGTAGTCTTTGGCCGGAGCCAAAGTGACTCCTTTGCCGCCCGTCTTGCGACTTTATAACATGACGTCAACCGGTGTTGCCAGTAGGTGTCAAGCAATTTTGCTAACACGGCCCTCCTGCATGGTGCATGCCCTCATGCACGACAGTTTCGACAGCACAACTGTTCTGTGTCCCGGAAGACAGCACATCTGTAAACATATTCAAAAGGTCATATATTAGTTATCAGAATACCGTACCTATCGGCCTATCATGCACCATCATTATTACAGAGCTTTCTACTCGGGTCCTTTATACTTAGGTTACCTCTGAAGCTCTGTAATAGTTTAAGTTAACGTGAATTTGACTACTATGTTTTCTTTAGGCTTAGAAAACTCCTAAAGTGTTCGCATCAACTCACTCCCTTACAACCGAGAAGTGCCTGTTCCCGTCAATACCTTTATTCTTAGGAAACAACGGTGTCAGCTCACTACTCTTAACTTGGGCAGTGTGATGACAAGAAATAATTTCAGGATAATTCAGTAGCTGTTCAATTAATTTTATTAAGTAACTATGAAGCTGAATTATTCTATAATTAAATATGAATATCTTGTTAATTCTTTACGTAAATCTAAATTTAGCAATTATTTATAATGTTAGTAAAATGTATGAGTATAATAAATACCTTGCTAACATGGTTACTTTTTTTTTAAATTAATATTCCAATCATCAATTTTAATCCAGGGCTTCATGTTTTCTATAGCTGCTATCCCATTATAGGCTTTATTGCTTCTCTCACTACCCCGCATGTCTTGGACTTCGTATCTATCTTGACCCAGGCATTTCTTTATTTGGAACGGTCCTTTGAAAGAAGGGAGTAACTTTCTGCTGCGACCATCATTACTTTGGCTTTGTATTTTTATCATTACGAGATCGCCTTCTCTATAATCTTTGGCTTTAGTTCGGTGTCGGTCGAATCGTTCCTTTTGAGATTTCGCGTTTACTTCAATATTTGTTAACACTACATTACGTAGTTCCGTTACGTCCACCATAGGTTCGTTATTATCTTCTAACTCAGGTCCTACGCTATCACTATCAGTATTTAGTCTATACCCGAACATCACTTCGCTTGGTATGGCCTTTATTGTTTTGTGAAATGTACTGTTAATGCCTTGTTGTAACGGTATAATACACTTATCCCAACAGTCCTCATCGACATCAGCGCCCATAGTTTTCATTGCGTCTAAAATGGTCTTATTAAATCTCTCGGCTTGACCGTTTGATCTAGGCATGCCTGTTGCTACAGTATGTAATCTTATATTTTTACTAACGCAGTGCTCTTTAAATGTTTTGGACGTGAATGCCGAACCAGAATCAGTGATTAACCTACGCGGATTGCCAAATATTTTTGAAACGCTTTCGAGCTCACGAATTACATTGTTACTATCCGTATTAGGTACTGCCGATATAAATACAAATTTAGTAAATGCGTCTACAATTATTAATAGGTATTTCTTGCCCGTTTGTGTTTCTATAAAAGGACCAAGGTGATCCAAATGTAAGGTATGAAACGGACGTGCAAATTTTGGCACTGGATACAGTTCACCTTCCTTTGGACCGCCTTTGTTTTTGTAGTAAATGCAATTTATGCAATTTTTAATATATTTTTTTAACTATGTGTCGCATTCGAGAAAACCAATATCTACTCGATATTCTTTCAACCATTTTGTCTATCGAAAAGTGGCCTAGGTAGTCGTGGTTGCATTTAATTATCTGCCATATACAAGCTTTAGGGACTACCCAGCGACGACCTTGGCCAGTTCGCCGATACAACTTGTTGCCTAACAGTTCGTACTTGTTAAAAATGTCCCTATGATTGTGAGCTTCGCCAGTTTCCAGTATTGCTTTAATTTTAACAATTTCTGAGTCTTGGAGTTGCACTGATAATAGCCAATCTGCCTCAGTGATAGACATTACGATCTCTGCCTCAGATTTCTCACCAGACTGTAAAGGATTTCTACTGAGGGCATCCACATGTTGCATGCGGGAGCTCTCTCTATGTACAATACTGTATGAAAACTCTTGAGTGGATAAAACCCATCTAGCAATTATTTCCTTATTTTCCCGAGGAATTATTTCCTTTTTTGTTAAAGCGTAACGTACCGCGTTACAGTCCGTAACTATCTGAAATGGAGATCCCAATAAATAAATTCGGAATTTTGATAACGATTGTACTATGGCAAGTAGCTCTAGCTCAAAGGAGTGATACTTTTTCTCCTCGTCTGTGGTTTGCCGACTATAATAGTGAATCGGTTTCTTCAGAGACGGAATTGCGGGAATTATAACTTGCATTAAAATTCCCGCAATTCCGTCTCTGCTCGCGTCCGTATACAATACGCATGCTTTGTTCGGGTCGTATATTGTTAAAATGTTGTCAGAAGTCAGAGCTTCTTTCAAACGCGTGAAAGCCTTATAGTGATGCTGTCCATATCCAGGGTTGATTTTTCCTCAACAGCTTGGTAAGTGGGCTTGATAAAATGGCACAATTCTTAATAAATTTACGAAAATAACTAATGAGTCCTAGGAACTGGCGCAATTGATGGACAGTTTTAAGTACTGGAAAATCTTTAACTGCGTTAATTTTGTTTTCACTAGGTTTTATGCCATCTGCGTTGATTTTATAGCCCAGAAATTCCACTTCAGTTTTGAGAAAGTGGCATTTCTTGAGGTTCAGTGTCAGACCATTCTCTTTAAAAATTTTGAAAATATTTTCTAGCATTTCTAAATTTTCCTCTGCTGTTTGACTGATAATCAGGATATCGTCGAGATATATAATTATTTTGCCAAATCTAAGGTTCCCTATGACTTTGTTCATCATTTTTTGGAAACATGATGGAGCGTTAGCCAAACCGAATGGAAGCCGTAAAAATTCAAAGTGTCCGTCCTCCGTTATAAAAGCCGTCAAATGAATGGATTCGTTTGACATTTTAATTTGGTAGTACCGGCTTTTGAGGTCTAAACTGGTGAAAAATTTACTACCCTGGAGTCTATCTATCAGATCTTCTATACGAGGCATTGGATATTTATCCTTTATTGTAATTTTATTTAGGGCGCGGTAGTCGACGCATAATCTTTTCTCGCCATTTTTTTTATTTACTAGCAAAGCTGGACTAGCGTACGCGGATTTGCTTTCGCGAATAATTCCGTTCTCTAACAGTTCATTCGCCGTGTCTCTTATTATTTGTCTATCCTGGTGTGATGTTCTATACGGCCTAAATTGTACAGGTTTACTACTGTCTAGTTCGATAACCATTTCGTGACCGGTCACCTGTCCCAATTGGTTTACATTTAACGCTATGCATTGTTGATATTTGTTAAAAAGAGTAATTAGTTCGCATTTATGAGAATCAGCGTCGAAATTTAAAATTGATTGGTCTATAGCACTGCAAAATTCATTAAAAAAATTTATACGTTGAAATGTAAAGTTCTCCCCGATTCGTGAGTACATCAAATCAGATCGCTCCGTTACATTTCTCCCGATCAGGATATCACATCCAGTTAATTCATCGAGTATG